CTAAAGGTGTAACCTTTAGTATCGGTTGGTGCCACGAACCGATACTAATGGGCATCGCATCCTTTATTCCCGGTTCGTGGCACCAACCAGGACTAAAAGGTCCAGACGAACCGGGACAAATGGCCCACGTGGCCCGGCCGCCCCCCTGGGCTCACGAACCTTATCAATGCCCTCATGGGTCCCGGTTCTGGACTGAACCAAGACTAATGGGCTAACCTGACCTGGACCAAAGCCCTCTTTTTTACTAGTGTAACTTTGCTCAATTTTGTACTAACTTCGTGTTAAAGTTAGTATAAAATGGAGTCACTATTTTGGGACGGAGGAAGTTATGCTTATTTTTTAAAGTCCAGGTTCTTGGAGCACAAGATCCAAAAAGGAATTTTCGGCTAGTGCCCCGCTATTGTGTCACTATAGCTAATTCGAAGGAATGCTGATGTTTAGCATAGCTCACTCTTCAATACTATGAGTATACCTTGTAAACCTTGCCGAAACCTCCTCGTCCGATCATCAATGTCTTGGAGAAGTTGTCCGTGGCGGCGACGATATCGGCGAACCGTATGGAGGGGAACTCAAGGTCACCACTGTGATCTACTTCTCCGATTTCGCTAGATGTGTTTGTGGTCCCGGTCCCGGGCACCAGCTTATTTTGGCTCTCGGTGAAATTAGTTCCCTTGCCTGTGGAATAGGCGTTGTGAGCATTTTGTGTAAGAATGATCGAGCATGACATGTTTTGATGTAAGAAAGAGAAGGGAAAAAAAATGAATGTACCTCTGAATCTACGGAACCATAGGAAGCAAATGCATGAGAGCAGCAGGGCAGCTGCCAACAACGGCAGTGCTATCTTGACTGCATTTCTACCTGCACATTGAAATGCAGGGAAAAAGTTTGATGAAAAAACACATTTTGTGGTCTGAATTCGGTAAAGATTCGACAGAATTTCGAGAAAGTTCGATGGGGAAAATGCATATGTTTCTGTTGTACCTGTGGAAGTAGCAGCAATGGGCACGGGGAGGCGGAGGTAGAGCTCGCCGGCCGCGCCGATCATCTGTGCGTCGACGAGCTCCTCTGCCCACACCAGGCACCGGCCCAGTTCGCCCGCGTACGCGTAGGCCACACACGAGCAGTTGGCTGCGCACCTCGCCGCGCAATCCTCCGCGCTCCGGTTGCCGGCGCCGAGCATGAACTTGTCCGGCACCGTCATGCTCGGCATCGACACAAAACCCTCCCCGTCGCTGCCGCATGCCGGCAGTGCCTGATTCCGCCGGCACACCTGCTCGAACCTGCCGGAGCTCCACTCCGCCGCACTTGCTGGCTCGAACCCATCGAGGCACCTGCACGCCGCCGGCGCCGCCATGACGTCGCAGTACCCGTACGCGCCGCAGCGCCCATAGCTGCTGCACCCGCTCGACGGCCACGACTGGAGCGTGTCCCAGGCCGACGTGGTGCCGTTCCAGCTGAGAAGCTGGAAGCTGCCGGAGCCGATTTTTTGTCGAAAGAGACCATTTGCCCAATAGAATTACCAAAAAAGATCCCCTCTAAACAAAAATAACAAAAAAGACTCTCTGAGCCGTGGTGGCAGGCGCGCCGGGCGACGTGTGGCACCTGCCGCCATGGTGGGAGGCGGCACGGTGCCAGGCACCAGGCCGGTGATTACGGGAATCGGCGCGAACAACGAAACGGGATGGCAGTGTGGGGCCCAGCCGCTCAGGTGGTGGCGGCAATACTGTAGCGGCGGGCCCGGCCGCCTGGAAGGCTGGCGGCAGGCCTGTGCGCTGCGTTGTGGTTGGAGAGTAGCTATCGGAAAGTCTGAACAGAACTTGAGTTGCGTGCGCCCACGGCGTTGCTGGGAGACGGGATGCAAGCCGACTGACCGACGCTCATCTTTTTCCAAGGTTTCGTCTCGTCGGCTCTCCCGAGTGCAGAGTGCTCGCCAAGTGCATGCGCACCAAATATCGCGTTCGGTTGTGCGTAGCATAGCTACAGGGGTCAGGGGTACATTAGGTACATTAGATGGAAATGATAGATCACTGTCGAATTCAGATGATGATGCTAACGTCTGTTTGATTGATGAGCTGCCTTGATTGATGCAAGTGTGGGAGACGGGATGCAAGCCTGGAAGTCGTCTCCCAACCGAGGCAGCGCGCAGCGCACAGGCCTGCCGCCAGCCCTCCAGGCGGCGCGGCCCGCTGCTACAGTGCTGCCGCCACCACCAGAGGCGGCTGGGCCCCACACTGCCATCCTGTTCCGTTGCTCGCGTCGATTCCTGTAATCACCGGCTTGCCGCCTCGCACCGTGACGGCAGGTGCCACGCGTCGCCCGGCACACCTGCCGCCACGGTTTAGGGGGTCTTTTCTGTCACTTTCATCCGGATGGGGTCTGTTTGGCAATTCTGTTGAGCAGATGGTCTCTTTCGACAAAAAATCTGCCAGAGCTGGTCAGCACGTACCGCATGGGCGCCGCGCCGACGGGCACAGTGAAGGTGATGGCGACCTCCTCCTCGGAGGCCACGACCGCCGTGCTGACCGTGCCGGCGCTGATGTAGTTGGTGGAGACGTTGTGCCCCGTCCAGACGGGATTGCGCCAGTACGTAGGGGCGCGTGCCGTTCCACATGAGCAGCTGCAGCGACGAGCCGGGGTCCAGGCCGTAGGAGAAGGGCCCCGGCGCCGGGTCGCGTGGAGATCTCCAGGACACGAGCCAGCCAGCCATGCCCGTGTGGCTCAGCCGCACCTCCATCCTCGGCAGGAACGTGTCCGTCGGGTGGTCGAAGCTCTGCCACACCACCGTGCCGTCCGGCAGCTGGATGAGCAAGTTGCCGTCGTTCCCGAGCTCGGCTGGCGCCGTCTGCAAGGACGAGCTGCCCACGCCGGTCGTGTTCCAGAGCACGCGGCCGTTGGGGTCGGACGGGACGAGGCTGGAGTCGTTGGCCAGCGTGAGCGTCGGAGCGCCGGCGGCCGGGGCGTCCCGGTTGGCCACCCAGACTACGGTGCGAGGCCCGGGGATGCTACGGTACCATAGCCAAGGTACAACCGTGTCGCGGCTGAGTCGTCCGGGGAGAAGAAGCCCAGGGCGAAGGCGCCGCTGTAGGACACGATGATCTCCCCGGACTGTAGCTTGTCCCCGACGGCCAGCTGGTCCTCGGCCGAAATGCACGGGAGGCAGACGGCGGCGACGGCGATGAGGACGGCAACAGAACGTGACAGGTCCATGGATCAAATTCAAGGTGCGTGCAGCCACATTACCTCTTTACTCTTGTTTGGCGACATTTCGACTTCGTCAGGGCAGTGCATGAACCTTACGTTCTTGCTCTTGGCTCTGCAAGGCGATGCAGCCACCACACGAGGACACGACTTTGTGGAGTCATACGTACTGACTAGTTTCAGTCTCGTCTCTAGTGTGTGCGCGTTACGTACACGCAAGCGGCAATGCTACACGTACAAACGATTTACAGGCTTTTACAGGATGGTTAATCTTGATTGGTCAATAGGTGAGCGGGGCGGCCCACCCCTGAAAATCAGGGGGGGAGAGGTTTGTGATTGGTTGTTAGATGGAAGGAGCGTGTAAAAGCGTGTAAGTCTTTGTATGTCTAGCATTTTAGATGAAAGTGGCCAACAACGACAATTGAGCGAGCCAAAGTAGTGGTCTACGGGAAATTATTACGGAAGCGAAATCGATGTACACGCGACGTGGTATGGCCGATGCCGACACAGACTCTACACGGAGAGATTGATGTGGCTCTAATTTACGAACCGAAACAGCTTCACGCACGGTACTTGTGCCCGACCTGTGCACGACAAGCAAATCCAGTGGCTACTGCTGTTCTCAGTCATATGCATTTCCGGCTGGATTCCAGCGTCGTCTATCTATCATGCAAAATTTGTCGTGTGTGTAGCACCTCTCTTTACGAAAGGCCTGATGGGCATAGTCGTCTGAGTATCGTGCACAAAGCATCAGCTGTATAGCAATGCTCCGAACGCCGCTGCAGTGCACTGTAGCACGCCCTGGATTACGACGACAGGCAGAGGAGGGAGAAGGGGGATTGGAGGCTTTGATATCCGAAAGAGAAGAGCAGGAGGATGAGGCATATAATATGTCATGGGCTGGCCAGGGTAGAAACTGGAAATATGTCACATGATACAACTTTTGAAAAAAAATCACATCTCCTGATGCCCAACTTGGCCTAAAACAGCACGACATTTTGGGGGTCTGCTCGAATAATTGTCAAGTCTAACATGGTAAAGATGTCAATTCAGCAAGACATTCTTACGGTTCATTTCAAGGTTGATCAACTCAAAACTCGTATAAATACGTCTGCCATTTTTGTCAACGATAAATGCTCTACAAATCTAGGGGTTTCCCTAGTAGATGGAACACTAGGACTAGTGCAGCTTCTTTCTGAAGAAAGCTGCAGTTACTGCCGTACTACCGTCCCTGAAGAGCGGTCATGGTCATGGCGTTCGTGTTCTCGAGATTGCTTCTTTGGCTCTTCTCTCCCATCATTTTAAGGTACCCTGTCTGGTTCGGCGCCGGAAGAGACGCCGATGCCACCACCGGCGCGCTTCCATTCTCTAAGATGGACACGACGGACGACATTAGCGGCCTCCTGCTCGGGTCGTCCTCCACGCACAGGAGGCCGACGTGGATGCAGAGCATGGCCTCATCCTGCGAACAGCTCTCTGCCATGGATGGATCCACCAGCTTACCTGCCTTCCCTTCCCCCCACAGGCTCCATGCCTACATGAAGCAATCAAATCAACCATCTGTGTATGCCTATTGTAAAGATGAATATGGATTTGATCATGACAGTGTGCTGCAAAAAGAAGTTAACTGCAAGTATTTGGTTTGGTACTGTCAGTTTTTGTTCAGGTGCTTACATAGACTGTCAGGCTAGGACACTCCATGATGCCGTCCATTGCGCTTATCCTGATGCCGCTCACGATCTCAAGCAGCAGCACGCCGAAGCTGTACACGTCAGATCTGACGGAGAAGACGCCCTGCGTCGAGTACTCAGGAGCAATGTAGCCACTGTCCACACATTACTTTTTCATCAGAAAAGTTTCCACATGTTTGTTGAATGTTGTACCAGCTTAAAACAAAAATTTACTTGTTCAAAAAACTCAAAACAAGAATAATTTCTTTTTCTTGCATGGTGTTCAGAATTCAGATAACTCACTATGTTCCGACGACTTTCCGGGTGTTGGCTTTGACCTGGTTGTCGCCGAAGATCTTGGCCATGCCGAAGTCGGCCATCTTGGGCCGCATCTCGGCGTCCAGCAGCACGTTGCTGGCCTTGAGGTCCCGGTGTATCACCGTCAGCCTCGAGTCCTGGTGCAGGTAGAGCAGCCCCCTAGCCACCCCCTTGATGATCCCCAGCCGCGTCGGCCAGCCCAGCACCGCTTTTCTCGCGCTGTCTGCAATGAACACCAGCAAATGCCACATGAAACTTCAGCAAAAACAATGCAGTAATTTCCGTTGTGATGTCTGAACATTATATGTACCGAAGAGGATGGCGTTGAGGCCCTTGTTGGGGAGGTACTCGTAGATGAGCAGCTTCTCGGCCCCCTCGGTGCAGCAGACGAGCAAGCGGACCAGGTTCCGGTGCTGCAGCTTGGCTATCAGAATGGCCTCGTTCATGAACTCCTCTGCTCCCTGATCTGAGTCCTTGCTCAGTCTTTTCACAGCAATCACATGACCGCCTTCCAACGTTCCCTTCCCAATGGTAAACAGAAACAAGTGCAGTGAGTGAGATCGTGACTGAACAGAACAGGAATTTTCTGCTAAACTGACACAACAGGAAATTTCAGGTGACTGAAATTTGGGACTGTCTATGGGCTGTTTGGTTGCCGTCCTGAGAAACAATTGACTGGCCACAAGCAAGCCGAACACTAGCCCGAACCTTCTTTGCTTGACACCCTGAGCCCTTTCTTCACTGGCTTGGCCTGTCATGAGCGCACAGGCAAGCAAAATAGGAGGCCTGAGCCAGGCACGTACATACAAACATAGTTTAAGACACCTTTTACAGTACATCTAACTATTTTGGTACGTTCATTTTTGTGATCCAACGGTGGAGATAGGGCAATACTACATCCTAATACGGGTAGTATATTCAGTGGTTCATGCATGTACTTTCCATGCTGGTACCAATTAATGAGTGATGTCATTTTTTACTCTGAGGCTCAGGCGTGAACCAAACAACATCTTATCATGGGGAGCAGTGCTAGGCAGCCGACGTTTTTCCAGCCGATGTGTGCACGACAGTAGCTAATCACCGTTAGATAAATAAAAAATGTGAGATCCTAGCATCGTCCACGTGACGTACATAAAACATCGTGTATGAAGCTATTCCGTATCATGGGTGCCTTGTCAGCCAAAAGGGGTAGAAATTTCAGGCTACTCTTAGGCACATATTTTATCAGGCATGACCTCTCAGGTCGCTATCCAAACAGGCCTTAAAAAATGCGGTCAGTCGACTTTTCCAGTCATTGGATGTGAAATCAAGGGTCGGATCATCCTCTTCTACCTGCCGCTTTCATCTTCCTTGGAACCACCCCTCCGCCGTCCGCGGCCAGCGGTGCTCTCATGACCGCCTCTCTTCCCTGAACCGCCTCCCACCGCCAGTCTTGCCATCTGTCCTGGCCATCCCCTATAAGCCCGACGACCATCCAAAAAACTCCGGCGAAGCAGCACCCCACCTGCCACTCTAAGATAGATAGTGGGGGTGCTTCTCAGGCGAACCTGCACCCGCCACCCTAAGATAGATAGTGGGGGTGTTCTTCCCCAACGCCGGCGGCCTCACCATGTCCTTCTTCATCTCCGGCGCTTCCTTCTTCCTTCTCAAAATCGACTGACCCAAATCCAAAAACTATCCATTGACATTTAGCTATTGTGCTAATTTTTCGCAAAGCTGAGTAGAAGTAGTACCTTGTAGACCTTGCCGAACCCTCCGCGTCCGATCATGTGTGTTTTGGAGAAGTTGTCCGTGGCGGCGACAATGTCGGCGAACCGTATGGACGGGAACTCAAGGTTTCCGGTGTCATCTCCTCTGATTTTGCTCAACGTGTCCGTGGTCTTATTTTGGCTCTCGGTTTTTCTTCCCTTGACTGTCAAATTGGTGTTGTGAGCATTTTTTTTTGAAAGAATGATCGAGCATGAGATGTTCATAGTTAAGAAAGAAAAAAAAAGGGGGGAAAACATACAACTGTACCTCTGAATCTCCAGAACCATACAAAGAAAATGCATGTGAGCAGCAGGACGGCTGCTAACACCGGCAGGGCTATCTTTACTGCATGTCTACTGGACTTTCTACCTGTGTTCGGCAGGGCTAACACCGGCACTGGCAAATTTGTTTTGTTTGAATTCAGTAAAGATTTCAACGGATAAAAGTTCGGCAAAAGAAGCATATGTTTCTGTTGTACCTGTGGAGGCAGCAGCAACGGGCACGCGGAGGTAGAGCGTCTCGCCGCCCCAGCGCGGGCCAATCATCTGCGCGTCGACGAGCTCCCCTGCCCACACCACGCACTTGATCAGTTCGTCCTTGGCGCTGCTGCTCTGCACGTTGGTGTACGCATATGCCACGCACGAGCAAGTTGCGGCGCACCTGGCCGCGCACTCCCCCGCGCTCCGGTTGTCGGAGTCGATCGAGAACCTGTCCGGCACCTTCATGCTCGGCATCGCCACGAAACCTATCCCGATTCCGCCGCATTGCGGCAACGCCTGCTTTCGCTGGCACCCCTGCTCGAACCTGCCGGCGCTCCAGTCCGCCGTGCTCGCCGGCTCGAAGCCGTCCAGGCACCTGCACGCCGCGGGCGCCGCTGTGACGTCGCAGTACCCGTACGCGCCGCAGCGACTGTATGTGCTGCACCCGCTCGGCGGCCACGACTGGGCCGTGACCCATGCCGACAAGGTGCCGTTCCAGTTGAGGAGTTGCAACCTGCCGGAGCTGGTCACCAAGTACCGCGTGGGCGCCGCGCCGTCGGAGACGGTTAACGCCATGGAGATCTCCTCGTCCGTGTCGACTAGCGCCGTGTAGATTACCGTGCCGGCGTTGACGTACAGGCTGGTCACGGCGTACCCCTCCCAGATGGGAGTGCGCCAGTAGGGGCGCGTCCCGTTCCACATGAGCAGCTGCAGCGACGTGCTGGGATCCAGGCCGTAGGAAAAGCGCCCCGGCGCAGGGTCGCCGGGGGATTTCCAGGACACGATGCGGTCGCCCTTGCCCGTCCGGTGGCTCAGCCGCATCCTCATCCCCGGAATGAACGTGTCCGTCGGGTGGTCGAAGCTCTGCCACAACGCGGGGCCGTTCGCTTGCTGGACGACCAGGTTGCCCTCGTTCGTCAGCACGGCCGCTGCCGGCGCCTGTGGTGATGAACTGCCCGCGAGGGTCGTGTTCCAGAGCACGCGGCCGTCGGCGTCGGACATGACAAGGCGGGAGTCGTTGGCCAGGGCGAGCGTCGGGGCGCCGGCTGCCGGGGCTTCCCGGTTGACCACCCAGATGACGGTGCGAGGCCCGGGGATGCCGTTGTACCATATGCCAAGATACCGCCTCGCCGGGCCAGCGGCGTCTTCTGGGGAGAAGAAGCCGAGAGCGAAGGCGCCGCCGTCGGACACGAGGGATTGCCCGGCCAGGAGCTTCTCCCCCACGGCCAGCTGGTCCTTGGCGGACGCGCACAGGAGGAAGACGGCGACGACGAGGACGAGGACGGCAGAACGTGACCGGTCCATCGACCAACTTCAAGGTGCGTGCAACGAGATCATCAGGAGACTTGATTTTCTACTCCCGGGGCACCTACACAAAGCTAGCTATTTACTCTCACTCCGTCTCATAATATAAGAGTACTCCATACGTCTTGATACATCCTTTTTATTCATTTTGATGACAAGTATTTTTGGACGAAGGGAATATAATATAAGAAAAACACTCTTATATTAGAGCATCTCCAACAAACGCGCGATAGCGCCGCGCGTTAAAAAAGTTTCACAACGTTGAAATTGTGTTTTTGTGCGTGACAGGTTTACCAGACGCACAAAAACATGGCGCACAACCCGACGGCCCCACCTACAGCAGCCCGCGAGCACAAGCCGGCACCTCAAATTTGCAGCCCCACAGCCCTCGTGCGCTAAATTTATGGCTCTATTTTTATGTGTGTTTTATTTTACAGCTTCAACACGTTGTTTCTCGCGCGTGCTATATAGGCATCTTTTTCAGCGCGCGGCTTGTATAGCGCGAGATGCTCTTATAAGACAGAGAAATTAGCTACGGCCTTGACGTTTCTCTTGGCGGTACGAACGTGATCATTCTTGTCCAAAAGGCGATGTCGCCATTGTAGCTAATCCGACGGTGACGCTACTTTGCGAGTTCATATATTGACTAATTTCAGCATGCACCGAGGTGAACTAGTCTTAGTCTGGTCTACTGTGTGTGCGCGTTTTACCTACGCGCTAGTGCATAACTCGACCTACCTTGCGCAACAACGACAGTTTTTTTTAACACATTAGAGCATCTTCGACAGCCGCACTAAAAGACGCGCGCGCGGTAAACTAGCTTTTTAGCGCGCGGCCAGCGGTGGCAGCAAACTAGCGCGTGGGAAAACGATTGCGCGCGTGCGGGAAAAGGCGGCAGCTCGCGCGCTAGATTTGGCGCACCGTGTCCGGCGTGCCTATAAAATTGCAGCGCCCTCTGCCGCTCTCTCTCTCGCTCCCTCCACTGCTTTCTCTCCTCGCCGCCGACACGCCACCATCGTGTCACCATGCCGCCTCGCCGCCAGGGAGGTTCAGGGTACCGCAGCGTCCGCGTGCGTCCGTCTGGCACCTATTCCGCCTCGATTCAGTCGGGCGGCGGCGTGCGCCTCGGCCTCGGAACCTTCGACACCGCCCAGGATGGCGTCCGCGCGTACGACGCTGCGGCGTGGCGCCTTCGGTGGTCCCGTTGGGACATGAACTTCACCGACGTGGCGACGCGGGAGCGGGCACATGAGTTGGCACCTTTCCCGCGGCTTAACACTGACGAGGATCGTCGCAAACACCGGAGGCGGAAGCGCCGTCTTAGCCTGGCCGAGATGGACGAGGAAGCCATGACACTGTGGAGGCAACGTTTCCCGCAAGACATCATCAACGAGGAACAGTTCTTCGCCGAGAGGAGGGAGGAGAGAAGGAAGGAGCGGGCCGCCTATCGCGAGGACAAGCGAACGCGAAAGGCGGCCGCTAAATATAACATGGCGCTAGGAGATGCGTCATCCTGGGACTCCCGCGACGAGCGGTTCCTTGACGCCTATGCTCAGACGTCGGAGGAGGACATCACCGAGGCAGAGTCCAAGTCGGAGAATGACGAGTAGTAGTAGTTTTTCGTTTTATTTTGTATCATAGAAGCAGGCTATGTGGACGAAGTAGAACTATCACTACTAGAGAAAATCTTATACACAGGATCTTACCAGTAGCGAGTTTTAAATTAAGGCACTGCTGCAATGTAGCAGTAGCGCTCTCCTGCAGTACTCGCTGCTGAAATAAACGTAGCAGTAGCGCGCCTCCTCTAAGCCGTGCTACTGCTATAATTCTCACGACCCCGCCGCGAAGCTAGTTCTAGCAGTAGGGTGTTAATTCGGAGCGCGCTACTGCTAGGTAGTTTAGTAGTAGCGCCTTTACCTTTAGAGCGCTACTGCTAAAACTAGCTATCTCCCACCACCCACGCTCTCCTCTATCCGATCCACACTCACACTCACACTCACTCCATCTCCC